ACGTAGCGAGACTTGTTTATTTTCTTTTTTCTTTGAACCCGTACCTTTCGTTCCTCTCAAGAAACTGTACTACCACTACTACTCACTCCACTACTACAACCACTACCGCATCATCAGCAAACCGAGGAAGAACTATTGTATTTTAATGAGATGGGTAAACCTGATCAAGCCGGCCTATCTCTGGTTGAGGGGGGCGCCTATTCGACCGCGCCTTACAGAATTCTTAGAAGTAAATAATAAACAATACAAAAAACAAAAAGAAACACCACCGCTCGCTTCCCGGAAAGAAAAAAGGCTGCCGTCGCTGCACAATTAACTTGAGACAACAATCAACCGTAGTGTGGCTGTCGCAGCAACTACAGAGTGTCCAATCGTAGTATAGTCACGTCGGGTCACACTGGAAAATTTTCGGCTATACCGACGCTTTCTCGCTCACAAAGGGATACTTGATAGTTGAGAGAGAGAGAGAGAAGCAGGTAATACATTTGGTAAAAATTAGCGTCTTGAGTTAGAAGAGACGAAGTGACAAACTCTAACTGGGATACTAAGCACATTAAAGTCCCATTCACACGGTCTGCCTCCTCTGGGAAGGGCATCTAAAAGTTGACGCCTCTTCGTATAATAACTGTACCTTAATCTGAGCGGTGAGTATGTGGAGAGGTAGCTATAGAGTATACATCTACACATTCTGCATATCAAAGAGAAAAAGATTTCACCATTCTTGTTTCTTTTTACTTACAGAATTAATCGGGGGAAAACGAATCACAGCCTTGTATGTAATCAAAATTTAAACAAGTGGCACCCACCATTTTTTTAAGGAACCTTTTTTTTATATCTTACGTTGTGTAAAGACTCTGTTAGTTTATAAAACAAGGAAGGGATATAGAGATATTGAAACCCGGTTATACAAGTAAGTAGCAGAACGATAAAGTCTGCGTTCGGGTAATCAATTAAAAGGGCACTGAAGTGGATTCTCAAATCGTCTATATATGGCATACTTGTCTAGTAATTGAATCACAGTAATTGAATTACTGAATTTAAGTACTTTTGGTAATTTGTAATTGAAATTATTTACTTTCGGCTGAAAGGAATTATACTTGGAATATAATTACTTTATGGCGTTAGTAATTGCAAAGTTTCAGGCACAATTACAATTACTTTTCCAATATTTTGCGGCGCCGACCGCGGGAACGATCGTGTGTGTATGCGCCGCGGATACTCCGTCTCACTAAAACCTTGCAGTGCAGCCAGAGCTACGGGGGAGAGGGCGTATCCCGACCTGTTCAAAAGAAGGGAAAGGAGGAACGGGAGATAGAGGCTCGGATTATAATTCCAGATGAAACTGATTGATATGGCTACTTGCCATATCACTCCTAAATATAATGTTGATATCCGTAATCCCGGACGCCAAATTATGATGCCCGGAAGGCGTCTCCGAACTGATGTGTTTACCGCGTCCAGAAAAGTGGACCCTGGGTTTACGCCCGATGACGTCATAGAGGCGTCACCACGCTGTCGACGGCCGCGATCCTGGCGGCGTCTCAGCAGCAATGGTGTATGTGGCAGAGGCTTGTTCTGCTGCAGGTCGCTCTCCAGTTTGGCAGTCCACGGAAGCTTCGGCCGCCAGGGGACTCTGCGACGACAGCGACGCTACCTGCCGTTAGCTCGTGCTTTTTGGCCGGTACTTCTTTAGTGGCGACCGCCAGGATCGTGACATCCGACAGCAGGACACTGCGACGTTTCTGACGTCATTTGTTACCACTTAAGGACCACGTTTGATGTATGGGAAGGACGCTAAACACACCACTCCGAGACATGTTCCAGGCACCACTGCCAATTAAAAACATTTTAAGTTTTTTTTTGTCAAACACAGGATTGCTTTGGTTTTCCTTTAAGCTTCCTCAAATATTGGAGAAAGGAATGAAAAATGTGTTGTATTCTAAACAACTGGTTTAAAGTTATAGGGCCTAAGTTGGGTAGCTCTCACAAAAGAGTAATCGTAAAGTAATCGCATAACTTTTTAAAGTAATTGGTAGCTGTAATGAATAACTTTTCAAGTAGTAGTAATAGTAATTGGAGTTAAACTAATTTTGGAGCAAAGCAATTATAATTGCAATTAAACTACAGTCTGAAGGTAATTTAGCAATGCATGATTTATGGTGATAAATCTCAATCTACGGGCTCTAAGCATGCTAAGAAAACCCGAAATTACACTCATGGGCGGCCGATTTCCCGATTAAAAATATAATAAAAACATCCTGAGACGACCCTCGTTCTGTGCCTTGGAGCACACACCAGGGGGTCCTGTCGGACGTAGTTTTCAAACAATAATTGCAGTATTACGTCTCCTCCACTCAAAGATTAGACGTTTCTTCGTCAAAATATAAGTCACCACACGCCTAAAAAGAGCAAATAATAATAACGTTCGGAATCTCCACGCAGTTATCTATCTTCATTGTTCAAAATTTATGGAGGTGGTGGGGACCCTAGGATGAAGGAGAAAATAGTGCTCGTGTATTTTTTTATTGCTGCGAGTTTCCCAGGACGCCTTGCTATCTAGAACTGGTATCTTTTATTTACTGAAGCCCAAGAAAACAATATGCCAGCAAGAGCACTCGAGCGCCCCTTTAAGTATACATCAGAGTGATGGAATTACGGGCTAAGGCAATCTCAAACACAAACCGGACTAAGAAAAAAAAAAAAAGAAAGAGTAATGACGACTTTTTATACGATTGCATGGCTAGTGGAGTCAGAAAATCGTGTAATCTACTACTTTATAACCGTTTCGTATTCGATTTCCTTCTTAGTGGTGAGCTGATAATTGTTCTATACAGCTCGGCCGAATCTCGAAGCAAACGTCGTCGAGCCAGGTACGCATTCGTGTACCTAGCGTCCACAAGTACAATAACAACGGCCGTTTATTCGCGAACTCGCACCTCTGACGTCACACCGCCGTGGTGGCGCTGCTGTAGGCACGGCGCACGCGCAGTGCGCCCACTTGGTGGGATCAAACGCTCGCGCTTGTTTGCAGACAGCGTGATAGTCTACGTGGAGTTCGTCTGCTTCTTTGTCAGGGGTTGTTGTGGTGACGTCAGAATGCCGAGCCCTGATTGGTTCTGAATGAAGGATAGTGAGTAGGCCTCAGGTGCGTTGAGCTCTGATTGGCTCAGGCAGAGCCAATCAGAGCTCGGCGTTCTGACGTCACCACAACCCCCCGCAAAAGAAGCAGACGAACTCGCGCTCTGCATAAAAGTTGAAAGGTACGAATTGGCAGCTCAGGAAACTGTGACGCTAACCGGACTGGGACATGTACCGACGCCACCCAATAGCATAACACCAGTTTATAGTGCACATCGTGGAAACGAACCCCCCTCCATCTCGGAAACCGAACAAATGCGGTTTCTTTCGTAGAAGCGCGCACCGCTTTTCCGAGTCGGCGAACATACAATGTGTCTCAAGCATACAAGACCACCCCTTTACCACCGCTACGCCCGACGAGTACAACCAGAACCGGTGAGAGGAAAAAAAGAAAAAGAAAAGATAAATAGAGGCGCTGGGAAGCAGCTTTTGATTGATGGCCTTTGTAGACGCTGTAGGGCTTCACCGCTAGTGCAGAGGAGTGGCCGAAGCCAAACCTAATGAGCATCGCGTATAGCCCTTATTTATGTTTCGGCGCTCCATTACGGTAGTGGAGAAGGCTCACTAATTGATAGAAATCGAGGCTCGTCTCTTGGCATGGTCTTTAAGAGCGTGTGCATTCCAAAACATAGCGATGAATGAAACCTACAAACGGTATAACAAAACCGACAAAGCAACCTAAAAAAAGAAAAAGGAAGGTTGACTCAAAGTCACCGACCACTTAAGGAACGGAGGGTGTGGCGAGACCCGCGCATCTCATTATCGCTCCTCAGCCAATGAGATTGCAGCATCGGTCAATAAGAACGCCGATCGAGCCAATCACGAAGCAAGAGGCGTTAACTAATAGATGTCGCGCCCTGCGTTTCTTAGGATGGCAGTGACTATCTCGCTTAGACCCACGTATCCCGACTATACCAGTCAGGCGCGCTAACCGACACCGCTAATCGTGCTCAGTTGCGTGTTCTGATATTCGCAGAAATCAATACATTGAAAGTTGGATTGATCGACGCATTTGTCTGGGAACTAATATATCACCAAAGAAAACGAACACCAACAAAATGACAAATTAATTCAAACACCAACAAAAAATCCCAAAGAATATTTTCTTTAAAACAAATTTAAACAAATCGACGCGATAAGTTTTCACAAAACATTCAAACGACAGCGATCCGAGACCAGACTTTGCTCGTTACTCTTTACAACTAATGAAATTACTTGTAATAGATTATTATTGGAGAAATTTTGTAATCGATTAATTACTTTTGTTAGGTAGTAATCACGAGAGTATAATTTGACTTCTGGAAGGATTAAAATTACTTGTGGCCGCTACTATCCCCCCCTTTTTTTTTCATCCATTTTTCTTTTCTTAATGGCTTCCTTTTTTCTTGCACATACATGTTTCCTGCAAACGAATCCTCGAACAATATGTCTCCGTCAGGAGGACTGTCCACGGAAATTGGCGGATTGAAAAGTAGCTTGTAATTCAGTGATGCTACTCCAATAATAGAGAGTACAAAAGTCTGTCTCGAAACCGTCAGAAAGACCTGTTTTCAAGATGTGAAGTAATCGGAAAAGCAACCGTTACTTTTTCTAACGGTTGATATACTTTTCATCTCAAGAAATCGAGTAATCTAATCATGCTTATTAGCCAAGAGTAATTGTAATTGTAATCAATTGCTTTTGTAGCGACGTGCACAAGACCGCTCGAGACGCACGATCATTGCAATGCACGCAGAAACACGCCAAAGCCTAAACCAAACCGTGTTTCCCGCCACAAGCGAGAGGCAGCCGGAGGCCGCGAGCGGCGCTGCAGTAGCTACAAATGCGAGGGAGAGGAGGCACTGGCGGCTCGCGGCGGCTCTGTCCCTCCGACAGAGCCAATATTGGTACGCGCCGGCTCGGCTCAGAACCCGACGGCTTAGCGAAGCGGCAGCACCCGGAGAATCACAGCGGCGTGCTGTATATTTTTTTTGCACCGCCACATCTCTCTCGTGACCGCCACAACCCTCCTCAAGCCAGTTGGGACTCGTTTGCACCCAGTCCGAACCAGGTGTCATAATAACACCCTCTCTCTTCTCTCTCCCGGGTGTGTAAAAAAAGAAAGAAAGATAAAACGAGAGTGACAAAAACGTCTCCCAGAGAGAAAAAGAAAACGCGTTGAAAAACGAACGCGCGCGCGGAAGAGGAGCGACGGCTGCTGCTGTGTGTGATCGGTAAAAAGCGCCACGTCGAGCGTGCATCTGTTTGTTTCTTAGAGGAACCTCAGTATACCGCTTCGCGATTTTCTACGGGCAGCGGACAGGAACAAACCGTGTACACCGCCAGCCAGTGACAACGTCTCGATCCGCGGGTTCGCTGTTGGTTCCCCGGGAAAGGAAGCGAACAAGAAAGAGGTGATTCTTCCCGCCGACGACTTCGAAGGACCTCACCGGTGGACTCGGGACCTAATCCAGTCCTCATTCCCTCGCGGATTTGGGTGAAAAGGCGGGAGCCGAGAAATCGTCATCGTCCACGAGGAAAACGGATCGCTGAGTGGTGACAACGCCGTGTGCGATGGACTATTCTCCGGTCAAAGTGATGCGGTACAAGGTGAGCGGCAGACTGGGCCTCTTGGCCTTTCTTTTTTCTTTTTTTACTCCCAGATCACTTGCTTTACTTCCCAGATTTGTTTCTTCCGTTTTCATTGAATTATTTATCATACCACTCGTCGTCTTGTTTCATCTGAAGTCCGCCAAGGCACAGGCTTCCCGTTTTGATAAAAAGAGAAGAAAAAAAAGTGCGTCCGTTTTGTTTGATCGGGTTCTAAAGTTTTTTTGTTGGTTTCCTTCTACTATTTATACGAGAACGCAAAATTCGTACGATGGGGCGGTAAAACGTGTAGAGTGCGACGTCGGTCCTGGTGTAGAAGCGAGCCGCCGTTTCGGAGAAGAGGATATACGCAGCTTCAGAATGCCTTTTCGGGTTATTTTGTACACGCGCTGGTTCGAGGATAAGTATCGATTTTAGCGAAAGAGCGCGGAGTCTCACTCAGGAGAACGTCTCCGTAACGAGAAGCGACTCCCTGGACCGTTTCTTCCTTTCTTTTTTTTTTTTTTTTCTTTTCTTTGTCCCGGCGGAAACCTTGTTAACCACGCGGTTTTTGTGTAAATACACCTGGGAAGGTTTCCTCTGACTCGTGCCGCCACGCCGTCCGCTGGGTGTCGCCGCGATGAGAACTCCGGGTCAATTTGTATACGCCGTTTGTTGTAGCTTAAATTCCACGGTGTCAAGATAATTTTGCAGAAAAAATAAGTCCTAGACATTGAGTTTTTGTTTTTTGTATATACACGGAATTGAGAGAGGACGCAAGTTATAAATAATTGTACAAAAACAAAACCAAGTTCAAAACGCGTACAGTCTTCGGACATCTTTATAGTTCATTAATGAAAGTGAATGCAGTTAAGGAAAATAGTTAAAGCTTCAAGCCTATAAAAAACGTGCTAAATATAACAAAATAGATACAGAGCCTACCTTTAAAACAGAAAATTGCACTTAGTTTCAGCTCAAGACAGCGCTGTTCGTTTACTTTCTGTGTCTGCGTTCTTCGCCGTTTTAATATGATTTAACGGAAGATCTCGACACTTGAAGCCAAAGACTCGCATGAACGAATATTCTAACTTTCGTATACTTTTACTGTTATATTATGCGAACGTGCTAACCTTTTTTTTTTTTTTTTTTACTTTTCTTTATCTCGTAAAACTCGCCAAACTACTAAATTCACTTCCAATATTAACAAAATCTGTAACTAAAAAAATAACAACAAACGTTAACACCATAATTTATTACAGTCATCTGGAAAGAATATGAAACCTGACTGACGGAGACCTTGCGCACTGTATACAGTCATTGGCAGGGCGTGTCTTTCGAATCTCCGCGCGTCCAGCCTGCGCTCTATGCCTTCCACCGTGCTTTGGTTGAGGTGCACGAGACGCCGAAGCACTGTCGAAGGTAGGAGGCTCCCGCCGGAGGCAGAACAGCTGAAACTCCTTTCTGCTGTTCTCAACTTTTTAAGCGACTAGAACAATCGTAACAGTACACAAGAACCAGAACGTCGACGCGGTTTTCGCATTCCCATGGAAGTGACCACATGTGTACAGTCAACTGACCCGGTACCCGACGACGACATGATTCATGAGCAAAGGCTTTGCTCTTGGCAAAAAGAAATACAATATTCATTTTATACTTCTCTTAAAAGCTTCGCACAATATCCTCAAAACTGTTTTTTTCTTCGTTTGTAGTATAGTTATTAAATATATACTTTTTAGTATGGACAACTTAGTTGTCATATGTCGACGCGTGAACCAAACCGCTAAAGTAGTACACACCTAAATGTATATTAGAAGTATACTTAAGTATGCTAAAAAGTATGCTTCGAGTGCAGGTATCTGTTTCGTATAGAAGTGCAAGAATAGTGTATACTTCGCATTGCTTTTTATACCGAGGGTGGCGCAGAACCGAGTACAGTTATCGGAGTTATCGGAACTAGGGAGTTTTAGCAGATCGTTCGGATACGTCCGATAATGATACCTGCTAACGATACGATGCACGCTCAAAGACATCGGCGGAGTGTCGGGCATCGTTCGCGGAGTTGCCGGAACGATCTACCAAAGCTCCCTAGTAGAGAGTTTTAGTAGATCGTTCCGATACCTCCGATAGCCCCGATAACGATACTATGCATGCGCAAGGGAGGCGGTGGCGGAGTATCGGGCTATCGTTATCGGAGTCATGGGAACGATCTACTAAAACTCTCTATTATCTGCTAAAGGTCTTCCCTAATAAAGAGTTTTTTTTGTGAACCGTTTCTGCATTCCGCGGAGCGACACCCGATAACGAAACGATGCGTGAGCAAACGCGCCGTGTCGTAGTGTCGGTAGTCAATAGAGAGTTTTAGGAAACCGTTTACGCAACTCCGATACCGTACAATGGTCCTTATACGGCACGCACTGCGCATGTGCGTGCCTTCTGCAGACGCGCATGCGCAGTTCGTACGGGAGGGCCCATTGTACCGTATCCCGGACGTGCAAAACCAGTTCCCTAAAACTCTCTATTATCGAAATAAAAATTAGAAAAGAGCTATCTGCGGGATTTATTGGCCTAATCGTTGGTTAAACGAACTAGAGAAAGGCTAAATAGTTGGTGTTTTGAATGCAGGGGTTGAGAACAAGAACGTATGGTTCTTTCGAATGGCGTACCGTAGGGTCACACAATAAGCTACGTTTCAAAGGTAAAGACAAATTCAGCCATCTTGGTGTACAAAATCATTGTTGCCAGTTATCTGAAATTGCACGATACGCTTTTCGGTCCCGCAGAAATGTTGGAACCGTCCACGACAGAGCAAAACGATATCGTCTGAGCTTTATTAGACCGTAATCGAAACTCAGGATGTTTGCTTTTATTATTTTTTATCGTAACTATCACCAATTGCGCCGACCCTGGCTGCACTAAGTACAAAAATGGCGGCGTCCAGAAGAAAATTGAGGAATGAAGTGCCGATACTCCAAGCCTTATTTAGCGACTCATAGCGTACCGTGTACAGCGCTGCTGACTGCGCAACCCACTCATCCTGCAGTCGGGAAATGACCACGATACTATACGCATCCGCTATGTTGAAAACTTTTCTTTATGACCGACATATTGGAGCCATTTGTGTGACGATATCGACCCTTGAGCGCAATCCAACGCGTATCCGGTGTGCGCACGTAGCTCTCTGAATGAACGCCTGAGCGTCACAACCGCGTGCTCCGTTGTCCCTAAAAATAAAAAAAATATTAATGAAAAAAATTCTAATGTTTGGACGAAGTACTTCGTAATTTTTTTTTATTCATTTTCCTAAATGACCGCAAGGTATCGAAAGAAAAAAGTAACAAACTTCTAAGGGAAATTTTCTAGAGCCCATTCTCAATATATCTACGCGAAGAAACAGTAAGACACGCGTCCAAGAATAACAAATCAACGTAGCAACTCAAGAAAAAACAAAAAACAAAAACAAAAAAACCACCAGGCACAGACACACATACACACACACGCGCGCGCAAAGTGTTAAGCTTAGAAAGTTTCTAAAAAAAATCGATGTTCCTCCTCGCCCTCGCTGCCTGTCCACTGTTCATTGGGTTGCTCGCAATGAACAATGGGAAGGCGTTTGTACAATCCCGTCCCGTCTGCGTTGTTAATTTGGTCTATCCTTTTCCCTCGGCGTTTCTACAATCGGTTGTTCTAACTATTTTTCTCGGCTTTTTTTTATTCGGTTTACAAGCCCTTCCCCTTTACGTTGTTTATTCGGTTGTTCAAGCCCTTCACTTCTGCGTCGTTCATTCGGTTGTTCTAGCCTTTCCCCTCAGGGTTGTCCTTTCAATGGTGCTCGGCCTTCCCCTCGACGTTGCTGAATGGGTTGTTCAAGCCCTCCCCCTCGGGTTCATTAGATCGATTATACCATATCTTTTCAGCGTTGCTCACTCGGTTGTTTTAGCCTTTACCCATGGCGATGATGAATCGGTTATCGGGTAAGTCCTTCTCACTGTTCTTCAATCGATTGTTCCCGTCTTTCCCCTCAGCCTTGTGCACTAATTGTTACTCGTCACTCCCCTAGGCGTCGTTCAATCGGTTGTTCTAGCCTTTCACCTTTTCGTTAAATCGGTTGTTCTAGCCTTTCACCTTTTCGTTAAATCGGTTCTTCTAGCCTTTCACCTTTTCGTTAAATCGGTTGTTCTAGCCTTTCACCTTTTCGTTAAATCGGTTCTTCTAGCCCTTCCCCATGGCGATAATGAATCGGTTATCCGGTAAGTCGTTCTCACTGTTCTTCAGTCGATTGTTCCCGTCTTTGCCCTCAGCCTTGTCCACTAAATGTTTCTCGTCACTCCCCTAGGCGTCGTTCAGTCGGTTGTTCTAGCCCTTCGCCTTCTCGTTAAATCGGTTGTTCTAGCCCTTCCGCTCAACGTTGATCGCTCGTTTTCCCTAGTCCCTCCACTCGACATTGTTCACCCAACTGCTGTAGGCTTTCCGACCGTTTATAGCGCCTCGTTTGCGCGTCAGCATTGCCGTGGCGGCGAGTATCATTAACCCCGACGAGGTTTTCAGACGGCGCCAACGCCGCTTCCCGTCTGTGTGAACGGACGTGTCTCGCGGGCGGACAATAAATCCGGGCGTTATCGGATGCATGGAAAGAAGATGCGGCCGCGGTTTCCTTGACGGTTTCGCTGCTGCTGCCGATGCTTCTTCATTGGGCCATCGCAGTTTCTTTTTGTTTTGTTCTTTTACAGCAGGCGCGTCGCGTGGCTCGTATAGACAGCTGCCGGCGATTGTGAGCCGCAGTCTCGTGTGTCGTGTACGCGCAAACTTAGATTAGTATAGCTGGACCATGCACGCGGAAACGTTTCGTTGTATTTAAGCGCGGATGGCGGCAAAAGTGTCATTCGTTGAAAATAACTACAATCGAGAACAACGTTAGAAATGCTTAGTATGCTCACGTTTCTTGCTTTGCGATTTGTTCTTTGGCGTCATTCTTATCGGCTAATGCTAGAATATAATTGGCTGCGAAGCCGTAATAATAATTT